AAAAAGGCCAAACATCTGTCCCAAATGAGCGTCAGTGGAGAATCTGTTTGTACTCGTCCATATATCTCTCTCTATATGCTTGGGAATATTACACACACGGTATTGTTTTATATATCTATCACACGCTCACGAACAGTCTGTTGGAGACGCAAATCTATACACCTAATTTGGTCTCTTTTTACGCCTTTTTCTCTCACGTCTCGTCAGATATATACACTTATATGTATATATATATATATATCTCTAGATACATATATATATATATACATATATATCTATATATATATCTCTCTCTCTATCTCTCTATCTATCTATATCTATCTATCTCTCTCTATATATATATATATATATATATATATATATATATATATATATATATATATATATATATATATATATATATATATATATATATACACAGTTAAACCTCTATAAATTAATACAGTCGGAGCCGAAAGAAATTATTGTTTTAACGAGGTTATTAATTTATCGAGGTTCGACTGTGACTTGATGTTTATGTATACAGTTATGTATTATCGTTCTCTCTTGGTGCTGGCCCCGTGCCTGCACTTCTACTCTCGGAGATTTTTGCGTCAAGAATCAGAGCTAAAGCAGTGGCTTTGTCTTTGGGCATGCATTGGGTAAGAATCATAATTTCGGAACAAATATTGTTTACCTTTCTTCCGAATTCCTTCACAATCGATGTTTTGCTTGCTTGGAAACAGATATCGAATTTCGTTATCGGCTTGTACTTCTTGAGTGTGGTGAACAAGTTTGGTATCAGCGCAGTGTACCTGGGATTCGCGTCTGTTTGTCTTGCAGCAGTCGTGTATATATCTGGTAACGTTGTCGAAACGAAGGGACGATCTTTGGAGGAAATAGAACTTGCTCTCAGCCCAGCTATTTGATTATTCTCGTTTTCCGCAATTTTGGTGCTTTCTTTACTGTGCTATGTATGTATATATTATACACAACTCTGCCACATAGTTTTGTATATGAATTAAATCATCCATCTTTTGATCCTGGAAGTATTACTCATGTTAAAAAGACAAAATGCACTTCATGCCCCAGAAATTTTCATTTTCTGCATTTGCCCCCCTAAAAGTTAAAAAAGAGAAATCCCCATTTCAAAATTTTGTTTTTAGTTGCACTTTGCCCGAAATCACAATTTGCATCATTTTTCCATCCGAATTGCCATTTCTCCATCCACTTCAGGACCATTTGAGTCATTTCACTAGTCCTATTGAAATCCTAGTATCCTTATCTTTTCTGATTGACGAAAAACAAAACTCATTTCACTATACAAAACTCATTTCACTAATTTCATAAGGAAAAAAAAAAAGAGGGAAAAAAAGGGTTTTTTTTTAATTGTTCTTTTATTTCTCTCTCTCTAAACAAGTTGTGCCGCAGGATTCACAAAATTGTGAGAATTTTCAATTTCTTCTTTAGTTAGCAGCTATTAAAGTGATCCGCCATTGAAATGAAGCAAATGCCCTTGAATTGAACAAATTCATGGCAAATCCGGTGAAAAATAGGCTGGAAATTGTAATTTGGAGCAAAATGCAATCGGAACTAAGAGGGGAATCTATTTTTTTGCATTTGTAGCATGAAACATGTGAAAATTGAAATTTTTAGAAGGCAAAGTGGAGATAATTACACTTTTGGTCCCTATACTTGCCACCTAAAACGATTTTATCCCTTAAGTTCCCGAAATAAGTCCTCCATCTTACCACATTTTGACACTTTCGGTTCGGCCGTCAACTTTCCCAGTTAGCTTGGACAAAAATATCATTTGCGCCTCACGTGACGTCTAACTGGCAGTAAAAAATCCAACTGGAACACACTCAATCCATCTGGCAGTTTTCTCCAATTTTTATTTCTATATCCCTAATTCCCTTTAATTCCATTTCGATTGAAAACCCAACCCCAAAATTCCATTTTCCAATCCTCAAATTGAGGCCATTTAAGACAACACCAGACAATCTCCACACTTTGAATTCAGTAATTCTGCAAGTTACTATTTTGATATCATATCAAGTTGTTCTCCTCAAAATGTAATTTTGCAAATTACATTTTTCGTCCTCAAACTTTATTCACTTTTCCGATATTGTCCTTAAACATTTTCGAGTTACAATAGTGGTCCCTAATGATGCCATTTTTTAACAAAAAATGATCCACCGTTTAGTTTTTCAGTTAAGTTAACGGAAACTGCACATGTTACTCACGTGACTTCAATTTTTCACACAACAAAGAAAAGAAAGGGCTTTTAACAAGGTGCAACGCGTGTTGTTAAAACATAAATACAAGAAAAAATGGCTTATCAACAAGAAAAGCCAACATTTTCTCTCCATAAACCATATGTGCTACATCATGACTAGGGATGGCAGCGGAGCGGGTACCCTCGAAAAAGTACAATACCAGAATCATTACTATTTAATATAGCTCAAACAATGACCATACCAAACACTTTTAAAAAGTTAATGGAAATACCAGAACCATTACCACGAATATCCGGGTATCCACGGGTACCCATTTACCATTTAAATTATGTAAATAAAAAATAATTTTAGGTCCAATAACGTTTAAGTAACTCTTAGAAAAGACGAAGAAAAAAAGAAAAGAAAAACCACTACAAAAAAACACACTTTACGCGAGGAAAAAAATCGTTACAATATGTGATCTTTTTGTTACGAAAACTTTTTGTGACGAAGCTTTTGTCACCTTTTGCTTGTCCTCTAAAGCTCGACGCTAAAAGTTACGGTAACGATTTTTATCTTGTCGTTACTAATGCATTGGTAACAAAGGGTGTTTCGTTACAACATCTTCACCTACTGTAACAAAATTATCCCCACTAAAACATTCTAACGTCGTTACAAAAATAATGTTTGTTACCAATAGTTAATTTTATAATATTATTTAATATTTATTTGTATACTATTATTTGTTACAAATACTTAATACGACAAAGTATTTTCCTCACTAATACTTGTAATTATTTTTTCTTTATAATTTTAATACAACAATTATTTTTGAATATTTTTATTTTAATATAGATGCTTCTAGAATAGCTTCTGACCATAGCACACATTATAAAAGAAATAAAAATAAATAAAAAACATACTAAAGGGCAAAAAATTACTTGATTATATTTCATAACCTCAATCGATATACAAAAAAGAGAAAAATATATGTAATTATCATAGAACTGAAATACCTCAATATAGATACATGTTCCTAAGAGTATGGCAATCAACATACTTTGATACAAGTTAATTTCTACAAATTTCATATTGCACCATCAACCATTGTATTGACTTGAACAACCTGCAGATGCAAACATAAGGAGACTTAAAATTCACTACATGTAGAATGTAAAAAAAATATATAAGGCAAAAAAATAACTTTAACAATATACATTTCAAATTGACAAGCATAAATAGCAGTTTGATAACAATATTCATGTCTAAATAGCCAAAACAAATCAACTACACTCAAGAAAAACACAAGTATATCCCCAGACAAGGGATATTAGACAAGGGAGTTGTCCAACCTTCATGTGACCTCCGCCAGAATAATAACATCGGCCAACGTCATCCTTGATATGTGGATCGATGCATGAAAAAGTATATTCATTTAATTAACAACTATTTCACACATTTAACTGAACAAACAAGCCCATACATTATATAAAGGAGAGAAATCACAAGTCGCTCATACCTTGAAAAAATCACCTTCTAGTCTCGAAGATCAAGACTTTCTACTTTACTGATAGCAAGAATTACTTTGACTACTCATCTTGATTTAAAACTATCCAACAGGTTCAACTCAATGACTTAGGGCCATCTACCAGATACTTCTAAATTAATTCATTTATATCAACATGCAGAAAAGTTGCTTACATAAAGTTCTCTGTAATGCAAGTGATATCAATCAAGTAAATAGATTCATAGAACCAATAGCTTAGTCTAGTTCAGAGGAAGATATACAATAACTATCTACATGTTACAGCCTTTATAAAACTCACAAACTATAAAATTTCCCCTGTTCTCATTTTCATTACAATACGAACATAGCACACCAAGAGCTTGACAATTTAGAGAATTAACAATATATTGTAACTAGTAAGACCACAATATCACTATAACACCAATATAATGAATCTGAGAAGCAACTCGACTAGGTCTGAACCTCTCCATATCAAATAAATTAATATTTCCCTCTGAATTAGTTTTATGTCTTATGTTATCAAAAATGATGCAGTTCAATTAGTGTTTGCACTTATAAATCTATCCCTTGTTTTATCTAAAACTAAAGTTATAAAAAAAAAAAAAAAAAAAAAAACATCTCTATGTACTTACACATAAATAAATTCTTCTTAAAAATAAAGTAAAAGATATTGAGTCATTTACCTGGAGAAAAGTTAAACAAAATTCCCCAAGAAGATAACCCACCTAAAATAGAGCAAAATCCATAAACGCATATGTAAGGGAGGGAAACCATCAACGAAGATCGGATCCACAATAATAAATAAAAAAAAAAAAAAAAAAGACATAATTGAAGAAGAGGGAACTCGATTGTTACCTAAACTCCTAGGAAGAACAAAAAAGTTCTCCCAATTCAAAAACCCACCTGCAGATAAGAAGAGAAAAAACTTTTAAAGCCAAATCATAAATTGGGAGAGTAAGGAAATAAAGGAAAAAAATATATACACAAATAGTTGAAGAAGAGAAGCTAATTTTACCGGAGAGAAGATAATTTTACCAGAAATTTTGTCTCTCGGGAGCTGAGAATCTTCTCTAGAAAAGGGTTCTATGCACTCCACAAAACCCTTGAATATGAAGCTGATGAAAAAATAAGACAGATTTGGGGGAGGAAAAGAAAAAAAGAGGCGCTGCTATTTACCGCCTAGTGGCTAAATTTTTTTGATATTTTTAGACCATTGGTAACGAAAATTATTTTGTCACTACTAAATACTTTTTCGTGACAACAATAAACTTTGAGTAACCAATATTTTCAACTGTCACAAAATATTGGGTCTTTGGTAACGAAGTTCTCCATTTGTAACGACTTTTGGTCAGCGTTACCAAACAAATGAATTTTTCGTGACAATAATTTTAATTCGTTACAATAGATTACTTCTTGTGACAAATGTTAGACTTGTTACCATTGTTTCGTTATTTAAAAGCTCTTTTTTTTGTAGTGAACAAAAGTAAATTATACAAATATATCCTCCATAAATTATTCAATACTTTATTTAAAATTTTGGCAGATTATTTTTGTATTCATATTGTTTATATATATATATATATTAAATGGTCGGGTACCCATGACCGTAAAAGTAAAACCAGAATTATACCAAAACCATGATGGTTTTCTTTTCTTTTACTAAAACCATTACCAAACCCTAATGGTTTCGGTAACGAGTTTTAAACGGAGCGGATACCCGCGTATAGCTAGCGGAGTAGTGGTTCGGATTTTCTTTTGCCATCCCTATTAATCATGACCACAGCCGCCGCCTGTGAAACTTGCAGCAGACCTTCATCTCCACTCCTAACTCCGGCAAACGGCAGCTACGACCTGCCTAAAAAATGCCCCATGTATGCCTTAAAGCTAGGCTTATGCGTCAATCTACTTGGTCGTGATCGGTTGGTCGGAGTTACGATTGGGTTAAACTATTCTTTTGTTTATATATCTCTGTTTGGGAATTACTAAAGCTTTAGATTAAAAATTTATTAACACTTGTTTTTTTTGGAAATTGAATCCAGGAGAGTTCCGAGAAATCAAGAATTTGTTCATACAATTAGTTTGGCAGCTAGGCCTCGCGACTCTCGCCATGTTTCTAACTTTGTATATCTTGCTCATAAAAATGAAACTTCAAAAGGAAAGTGCTCAAATAATGGGTTTTTGCCATTCTTCGTTTCTTGGTAGAATTTCTTGTTCGGTGGAATCCACACAAAAAAATAATACATGTTCGCGCACCCATGAAACTAAAGCCATACGAAGGTAAATAACGAATACATATTTATGCACCATTAGTTTGTTTAATTTAATGTTTAAGAGATCATGTGTGGCTACATTTTGAATATGTTAATGTGTTTATAAGTCAAAGAATTTAAGAGGTTTACTGATTTTGTGTGAAGGTCGTTGCTCTCCTTTTTATTTGAATCTCAATTATGTAATTTTCATAAAGAATAAGTGGTTGTGGTTCTTGTTAAGCGTATCTAAATTTTGTTCCCATCTTTAGGAATTTAGCTTATTCAGTTATAACTTTCCTCCTTTTTCTCTATGTACATGTGAGAGTTTCACGTCTGTCGAACTCTATTCAAATTGTAACTCTCCTGTATAAAATCACATGAATGAAATACAACTCGGTAAGTCGAATACTTTAATCTTTCTCTTGTCTTACAGTTCTTACTTGTGTCTGATGAGTGAAAAGAAAATAATAGAAAAGAAAGAATAAAAAATTGTATTTGGAAGGGTTGATTATATATGGTGTTGTTTCTCTTTTTTAAATATATTTTTGTATATTTTGTTGTCTTTTATAATATGTTTTGTTTTATTTTCTTCTGGTTCATATCAAAATCACATACAATTTATGTGTCTGAATCAACTAATTATGAGATTTACCTTGTATTTTGGGTTTAACAAGATGAAATGCGTGTTGTTAAAACTCTTTATTTTCCTGTAGTGTGACATTAGAAGTCACGTGGGTGGCACGTGCAACTTCCATCCAACTTAACTGGAAAAGTAAACGGTAGACTATTTTTGTTAAAAAATGGCATCATTAAGGACTACTATTGTAACTCAAAAATGTTTAGGGACAATATCGAAAAAATGAGTAAAGTTTGAGGACGAAAAATGTAATTTTCCCTACAATTTTGAATCATATCTAGTTGTTTGTTGTAGCATAAAAGATGAGTAGAAGCTCTGTGATGGTGGTTTTGATTTCAACGTCAGGTTTACATTCGAATGTCAGGGAGACGTGGGTGAGTTGAGTCTGTGTAGGAGTGAGGGATCGATGGACACCATTTTTTTTCCTTTTACTAGTTTTGAAGAGGTTGATTTTCTTGTTATTTGTTTTAGTACATGTGACGGAGGAGAGTGGTGGAGAGGTGGATGACGACAGGAGGTGATGGAGCAAATGACTAGATTTTAAGTTTGGAATAAAATTAGGCATTAAATTTTTGAGGAAGAGAAGATATAAGGATGAAGAGGTAGGAGTTTAGTTCCAACTCATTTTTAGGGTCCCAAGTGGACGTCACGTGAGGCGCGTATGACCGTTCCATCCAACTTAACATGAAACATTGACCGCAAACCAAAATTATAAAAAAGTGGTACAGTTGAGGACTAATTTCCTGAACTTAAAAGTTTGAGCACTAAAATCGTTTTAGGTGGCAAGTACATGGACCAAAAGTGTAATTATCCCGATATGTATTTCCATGTTAAAAACAACAAATTGAATTATAGTATGTCTATTGTTGGATGCTAAATACCAACACGCAAGTGTACGTATCGCAAACAAGTAGTAAAGTAGACTCGTGAGAGTCGGATGTCGATCCCACAGGGAATACGCAAATTATTTAATCCTAAGTACCAAATTCTCACAATTGTTATTTTTATCCAGCCTACGCAGGGTTGTCAATTTAATTAACTAAATAAATTAAACTAATTAAGAAAGCAAGTAATTACGAGAAAATATCAATATAAAACGGATCTAGGATTTTATCTTCCCCCTATGCGATAATTCTTCACCCAATTAATCTCCTATCATGCAAGTTACGATTCCCGATTCTTAACCCAAGACACGAAATTACTCATAACCAGCTGTCGCTGCGTTATAAGCCTATTATTCATAAAAGATTCACTATATGTCTATGCAAACCTAGTATAAATAAAGCATTAAATAACAAGTCTCGTAAACGGCTACCTAAGGTATTATCTGTATGTCTACGATAATACATGCAATCAACACACGCATTCGGTGAAAAACTACTCGAAGGCTCTTCTATCCCTGTTCTAATTATTAAAACGATCTGTCAATCAATTCTAACAATAACAAATAGCAACATAAATTAGCTACGTTCATGCGCTAAATAAGATCAAGATAGAAGAAATAATCGAAGAATTAAACTTGCATAAAAGTAGAAAAATAGGTTCGAATTACCACATAGGGTTCCAATAAAATCCTAGAATAAAAACTTAGCTACTCATGTTCGTAACGAAAAACATAATAAAAATACGAAAAATCATAAAAGCTATAAATAAAAATCAAAGAGGAGAACTAGGATGAAGATTCGTCAAGTCTTCGTCTTCGTTCTTGTGCTCCTTGATCGCGTGTAGAAAGATGAAGAATAAAAACTAAGATAAACGATAAAAAGGTAAAAGATAATCCTAATTGTGTGCTTGTGGCCTTTAAATAGGGTGCAAAAATATAATAGGGCGGGTTTCCTTGTGTAATTAAGATTTCTTCACTGCGCCAACTCGACCATCCGGACGGCCGTGCGAGAATAGGCTTGAAAATCCGGACGGCCGTCCGGTCCTTAATTCTCCAGAAATCTGATTTTTTTCACTTTTGCCCCACGTTTTCTCCGAATTTGCAGTTTTCACCCCATAAGTTGCCAATTCTTCAATTTGCACCTAAATTACAAATAACAACCATTTTAAGCACCAATTATCATTAAAACACACCAAAAGCTCCAATTAAAAGGTACAATTAAGTGTATAAATATACACTTAACATCTATATAGCACTTTCAACTGAATGTTCAATCTCTAGACTCTACGCACGATGATAATGACGAAGAAATTCCTTGGTGTGATGGCATAGGAGAAAACAGAAATGGCTTTGGTGGAATCTGTATGGCCTGAATACTTCCTTCTAACATCTCAATAACCTTTGACATCGATGGCCTATCCGATGGAGTTGTCTGAATGCACCAAAATCCAATCAAAAACATTTTCCTCGATGTTTCTTCATCCTCTTTAATCTCAAGATCATCTAATTTCTGGGTAACATCAAGTATTACCTGCTCATAGATTCTGTCCGGAAAATAATTTTCGCTCGATTGAGTTGTCTCCATTTCGTCGAATTTTCTGGCTCCAGCCATTTCAAGAACCATCATTCCATAGCTATAGACATCAGATTTATGGGAAGCTCCTCCGAAATTTCTGGAGAATATTTCTGGAGCAATGTACCCAATTGTGCCTCTTGCTCCAAGCATCGATATTATACTCTGCTTCTTCTTGCACAGTTTAGCAAGCCCAAAATCTGATATTTTCGGACAGAACTCTTCGTCCAGAAGAATGTTCTGAGGCTTAATGTCGAAATGAACAATCCTTGTATTGCAACCAGTGTGCAAATATTCTAGACCTTTTGCAACACCCAGAGCAATCTTGTACAGTTGTTCCATATTCAAAGGACAATCCGTATTATCAGCTGATCCGTTACTTCTGATCAAGAACTTGTCTAAAGATTTGTTGGCCATAAATTCGTAGATTAAAGCTCTCTTGTCTCTATCATAGCAAAATCCCAAGAGATTGACAATATTGACATGGGAGGTTCTACTAATGCTAGCAACTTCATTTATGAATTCTTCTCCATTGCTATCAGCTTCGATCAAAACCTTGACAGCGACAAGGGATTTATCGGGTAAAACACCGCCATAGACGCTACCATATCCTCCTTGACCAAGCTTAAATTTGAAAGATTTGGTCATTTTCTTGATTTCGGAATATTTGTATCTCTTTAGAGAAAGCGACCCGTGCTGGAGTAGAAGTTTTTCAATGTCTTCATCTTTTGCATGTCTACGACAACATGATACAATTCTTCTTTTGAGGCAACAGAGAGCTGTTGCTATTGTTATAATAATTACTGCAACGATTGTACCTGGATCATAGAGACAATATGGGAATCAGGAGACAATTAGTTACATTACTGACAAGAAAGGAAGTAGTAAAACAGTTAAATTGAGACTAATGCTGTCGAGAAACGGTTACCATAAATTAAGACGGACAAGGGGTTGGGAGCCGTTAGGGTGAACACGGGTTCAAATGTAGGACTTTGAGCAGGAGCCACCATACCTTGTTAAACAAAAATGGATCCAAATCAAGTGCGCGACTTTAGAACATAATATAAGGACAATTACAATATTTGCACTTGTTCGATTTCCGTCTACGATTTTTTAGTCCTTAAACATGCTACAAATTTGGTTCGCCGGGTCTACTTGCGCGGTTAAAGATTTATTTGACATAATGTATAGTAAAATTGTATAGTCAATTTTTATTTGTTGAACCGTTGACTCCCACCTGAGCAATTTGGCATGTCTTACCTTGAAAACACTACTTTCACTTGTCTATAAATCACTATAAAATCTCATTATTGAAAGGTTTTGTATCTGGAAAAATAATTGAAGAAGCTACAAGGTAATATTTGTTTTCTTTTTATCCAAATAAATTAATTCTTTCCCACCCCAGGATAAAATGAAATTTATTATAATTACCATCACTATATCAGTAAGTATTATTATGTTATATAAATGTAAACTATATATTCTTTTATATAAAAAAATACAACAAAAAAAAAATGATGTGATATTGTGATTTCATTAACTAACAAATAATATAATATATAAAAAAATATATAATGCATGAAAGCATAAATCAAGAATGCACATATTTGAAGTTTGAACACACAAAAAATAGGCTAAATGACATAAGTTAGAAAACAATAAAAATATTAAAAAAAAAAAAAACCTGTTTTTTGGATAGCTGAAAGCTAAGCGATGAAACAACAGTTAACCAAATCTGGTGAAGGCGGTGGCTTGGCTTTTGTGCAGGTCGTCTGAAAATAAAGTCAACGAAGAACCTAACAAGGAAATGAGAGAGAACTAGATATTTGAAAATGGGAAATGAGTTGTCCAATGATCAAAAGTCAAAGCCATAAATCGAAATCTCAGCAAGTCAACGAAGAAATAATATGAAAAAAATAAATAGAAAATGAGAAATGGGTTGTTTAGTGCACACCAGATTATTGAGATGCTGCACCGGGTGCATGCACACTGGGTGATTTTTAACCATCGAGGTAGTTAAATAATCACTCACTAAGTACACATACACATGAGTTTGTGTGTGATTATGTGTTGATCAACTGTTAATTAATAATCACCCAGTGTATTTCACCGGACGTAACATCAAATGAATTAAACCGTGCATACTAAAAGAAAATAAGACTATAGCGGCAAATAACTTTTGTTCATAATTGTATCATTTCCGCCATAAATGAAAAAAAGAGCTCCAACATACTTATTTTTCGGTCGATAAAAATTGTTTCCGACAAAATATTTTCGGAAAATGTCGATGTACCAATGCTATTCATTTTTGGGTAATTTTTTTTAGGGATTATTAGCAAGACCCCCCTCATCTAGGAAATGTAGTTAAGAAAACACCCCTTTCCAAAAATAATTAGAGAAAACCCCTTAACTAATATTCCACCTAAATACTATTTTCATAATTCCAAATTAAACTACCCTTAATTGTCCAATATGCTCTATCAAAACCCTAATTTCATTTTTTTCATTTTTCGTTCTCCTTTCTCGTGTCTAGCTTCTCTCTTCTCTGTTTTTTCTTTTTACTTTCTTTTATGTTTCCTCCCACAAATCTTCTCCCGCCGTCGCTGGAAATGAAGAAATGCTGGAAGTCTCCATGCTCCTGGGTAGTAGTAATTCAAGGTAATTTATTAAACTATTTCCAATCCTCAATTTAATTAACAACCAATTGTTTAATTCAGATGAATATTTTTATGGATTTTCAATTTCAAGGAAGATCTCTCTGTATGCTGCACTTTGGGAAGTGTCAATCAGTTTTGACTGCTTCTGGGTTGCTGTGTTCTATGCAAGATGCTTCTATTTCTTCTACGGGTTTTATGAATTTTTTGTTTATGTTTGGAAACTTGGAGTGGATTGCCTTAATTGTTTTCGATCACACACCTATCTTTCTTGGAGGTAAACGCATATATGTACATGCAGATTTTTTTCTTGCTTCTTGCTAATTAAGCTAATTTCTAGTCGGTGGGTCTAGGGCGGAGATCGAGGCATATTTTCGATGAAGTGTGGCGGAAGTCTGCGGCATATTTCGAGGCTTAATCGACTACGTTTTTGTATGAATTATTTTTTTATCTTCTTGTTAGGGATTGGTTGAATAGTGTGGTGTGGCGGCGATGTGGTGACGATGGAGAGACAAATCTAGGGTTTTTTGGTGGATCGGGCGGATGACGGTTCGGGTAGATAAATTCGCGCATGCTGGAACCTTAATCGACTACGTACATGTTCCATAGTCGATTAAGCTAATCGACTATGCTCTGATAGTCGATTAAGGTTAATCGACTCCAATTTTTAATATTTTTTTGGATTTTTTGTTTATTGATTCCAATTGTATAAATCAATTGTATATTTTTTGTTTTTGAAAATATTTAATTTTGTATGTTTTTGTAGTTGTGATTTGTTACTTTTAGTACTCAGTTCCTTAATCGACTGTGCTTCATCATAATCGATTAATATGCTTCATTGACTCCAATTTTTAACTTTTTTTGGATTTTTTTATTGATTCCAATTGTATAAATCAATTATAATCTTTGTATATTTTTTTTTGTTTTTGTAAAATATAGTTGAGTTTGCATTTTTGGGGAGTTGTGATTTGTTATTTTTAGTAGTCGGTTCCTTAATCGACCATGATTCATCATAGTCGATTAATATGCCTCATAGTCAATTAATATACATGATAGAAAAGAAAAAGTTAAAAAACGAAAAAAAAAAATTTAATTTAAAAAAAAAATAACAGAAAAAAAAACGACGAAAAAAAATAATAAAATAATAATAATTAAAATTAAAATTAAAAATAAAATAAAAAATAATGAAAAAAGAAATAATAAAATAATATTAATAATAAAATAATAATAAGAAGAAGAAGTAAAAAAAAAAAAGACAAAAAAAAAAAAAAAAAAAAAAACATGACTGATGGGCTCATGCGCGGATAGTGGCTCATGGGCGGAAATGAGATGGCAAAAAATGACATAATTGGAAAATTTGGTGGCTGAAATTAGGAGTAGGTTTTTCTCAAATAGTGCAAAATAGTTTGGGCCTCCCTCCATTAAAAAAAGTAATGAGGGGGTTTCCTCAAAGAGCCCCTTTTTTTATCGATCATTTATCTAGTTGATCTGTGATTTATGAATTATTGTCTATTATTGCTTTGAGACACACATCTGGTTATATACATTAGGTGACTGATGGAGTTAAATTATACATACTTTAAGATATATATAGGCCTTTGGTGACAAAATTTATTAGAACTAAATGACAAATCCAACTAAACATTTGCTTCACATCCTTTATAAAATCCTACGTCTACAACCACCGTCATTAGTCATCAAAATAAAATCTTAGATCTGCAACCACCTTCACCATAGCCGCCGCCCCGCCATAGTCATCGCCTCCCTTGTCTCCATAACCACCCCTACCGTAACCGCGACCACCACCACCGTCCCTAGCTGCCTCCATAACTACTCCCACCACACTAACAACCTCCATAGCCGCCGTCACTTACCATAGCCGCCTCTATAACAACTTCCACCATACCCACCGCCTTCATAGCCGTCGCCATCCACCAGAGCCGCCTTCGTAACAACCCCACCCTACCCCCCACCTCCATAGCCACCTTCATGACCACCCACCATAACTTAGAGAGAGAGAGAGAGAGAGAGAGAGAGAGAGAGAGAGAGAGAGAGAGAGTAAGAGAGAGAAATATATTTGGTTTGGAAATACGCAAATAGATGTTATATTTAGGGTACAAGGACAAATTATGAATAATCTTTTTTAGGGACGTGGGGCATATTCTATTTTAGGGTAAATTCCACTTTTCTCCTTGTACTTTGGCTCAATATTATTTTATCCCTTTCTACTCTCAATTGCATCGATTTGCCCCTTGTACTTTGGCTCGATATCACTTTACCACCTTATACTCTCAATTGCATCGATTTGTCCCCCTGTAATTGAAAAAGTTGTCTAAAAAAATTCGAATAAATTCGAATTCGAGTGTCGAACTAAAAAATAATCAAGCTGCGAGTGACGGTTAGTTCAAACAATTCTAATAACGACGAGCCCACTAATAACGAATTCTAATAGCTATGCGAGCTGCAAAGAAAGGTTAATTCAGATAATTCTCGTAATTGCCACCTCGTCAGTATAATACCGAGCTGTAATAGATAGTTGAATTTCAAATAAGGTTTTAGTCCAAACAATTCTAGTAATGATGAGCTGTGTAAGTGAACTCGAACAAGACCGAATTAGGTAAGCAATAGATAAACACGAGCATCAATCAATAATTCTTAATTCAAACAAAATTGAGTTTCAAGAAATTATTTACTGATACGGGCCACTATGACGATATGAGTAAATACGAATTGAGAAGAGCCAAATTACCATTATAGGGCACGATGTCGGGCGGCGACCTTCGAACAACGAGCTGGCAACGCCATAACTCGGATTCCGGCATAAACGTGACCTAAAGCAGGCCCATTAAGAGAAGGCCCAAACACTTGACTTGAGGGAGGAGCAAACCCTAAAAAGGAAACCTTGGAGACCAAGGTTTCCTCATCTATAAATAGAAGGATCATCAAACACACACACACACGAAAAATACACTATTTACTGTTACATTGCATATACACACTCATCTTTTCCGATCACTGACTTGATCGTCGGAGCTCTCCCGCCGGGAACCCCTCCCGGCGTTGCAGGCACCATCACCGGAGTACGGACGGAAGTTGAGACGAAGAAGGCGGAAGCCCTACGGACCAAATCAAGTGGCGCCGTCTGTGGGAAACTTCTAAAAATTTGGAGCACAACTTCAGGGAAAATAC